TCCCTGCAAGAACATACTGATTAAGTCTTGCCCAACTGTGAGGCAGCCTGGGGTGCAGGGTTTTTGTTGTTTCACTTTTTGTGTACATTTATATTCTGCTTTTGCCATGCAGTGCTTGTTTGCTATTGAAGCAAAAGTCAGTAATGTGCACCTTATACTGGGAAGAAAATGTTCCAGGTTCTGGGTAGATCTTGTTGGACTATGGTCCCCAAGGAAGCTCTGTATCCTGCACAGATAGGGTGCATCCACGTGCAGTTCGCCGTGCCGCAGACTTGTCTGCGGTGCTGTAAACTGCATGTGCCACACATGCAGGCATTCACCATGCTGCTAATTTGCAGCATGGCAGGCTTTTTTGACACTTAGAGATCCCCGTGTCAAAAACCCACACTAGACAAAAGCGGCATGGTGCACATGGCTGCAGCGTGTGCCGCCCAAAACCTGAGCCTGGTAAGCCAGAGCCACACTTTGGCTGTTGGCCATGCTCCGTGAGCCTGGATCATCACTGCTGGAGGCCCCCAGGACCCCAGGTAAGGCTGCTGTGGCCAGCCCAGGTGCTGGCATCAGCCTCCCCTACCCCACCCAGAGCAACTTGCCACACATCAAAGCATGCGTGCAGGGGCATTCCCCAAGGACAACTAGTTGTGGCACACATATGTGGGACTGCTGGTTGTCCCCGAGGAACACACACTTCCACTCACGGGGATGCACCCAGAAGCGCTATCCCTATAGGAGGCAGATGCATTGCACCTGAGAAGTAGAGGAGTGATTGAGGGATGACCCTGACAGAATTAGAGGGATGCTTCGGAGCATCCTCAGCCCAGTCTGTATCACTCTCCTTATGTATTAGAGCAGGGGTAGTCAACCTGTAGCACTTGTGCCAGAAGTGGTATGTGAAGGCTCTGTGTGGCATGTGGCAGATCAGGGATAGAACAGGTAGCACAGCAGCAGAGAGCACTGGAGGCATAAAACAGAGCAGCACAGAGCACAAAGCAGGAAGTAGAAAGCAAAGCTACAGGTTGGGCAGAAACCAGGAAGCAGAGCAGCAGACTGGGCAGAAGAAAGGAATCCTAGTGGCACTCAGGGAGGGTGCAGAACTAATTTGTGGCTCACCTACCAAAAAGGTCAGCCCCTATTGTATTAGGGAATCAGTGTTACAGTAGCAGATGCTCAAGCATTTCTCAACTGGCAGTTTGTAGCACCCAGGGGAGTCATGAAAGATATTTGGGGTGGCTGTGAGGTGCTGAAAATACTATTACACTATAAAGCAAATACAGTGTTACTTCCCCACTCTTTGTACAGTGTTGTTTTTCAAGCACTATCAAAACACACAAATTTGTAGGCCTTGGCACCTTTCCTTTTCTTTTTTTACTCAATGGGATGGTGTCATGAACATTTTTGCTATTGCAAAAGGAGTCAACCCGAAAGGATTGAGAAACAACTCTTCTATCTCACAGAAGTGACATTTTGGTGGCTACCAGCCATGTAAGTAAATTCCGTAAAGCCTGTGACTTGCATATCACATAAAGCAGTTAGCTGCTGATTGATCATTTTTCAAAATTTCAAACCCTGCTTTGTTAACTGCATATTACTTGCAAAAGAAAATGTATTGAATGCATCTTCATAAATGTATAAACAATTCCAGCTGATCCAGGTATTTCAGGTCTTGATATTTTAACCCATACTCCATTCTGAACTGATTCATAGATTCATAGATAATAGGGTTGGAAGGGACCTCAGCAGATCATCGAGTCTGACCCCCTTCCCTAGGCAGGAAAGAATGCTGGGGTCAGACAACCCCAGCCTGGTGCTTATCCAATCTCCTCTTAAAAGACCCCCAAGGTAGGGGAGAGCACCATCTCCCTTGGAAGCCCATTCCAGATTCTACCCTTAACGTAAAGAAGTTCTTCCTGATGTCTAACCTGAATCTGCTCTTTGTCAGTTTGTGGCCATTATTTCTAGTTACTCCAAGGGGTGCCCCGGTAACCGAGCATCTCCTATCCCTTGCTGTCCCCCCTGATGAATTTGTAGACAGCCACAAGATCACCTCTCAGCCTTCTCTTGCAGAGGCTGAAGAGATTTCAGGTCCCTCAACCTCTCCTCATAGGACCTATCCTGCAGGCCCCTAACCATACGAGTGGCCCTCCTCTGGACCCTCTCAAGGTTATCCACAACACTCTTGAAGCATGGCACCCAAAACTGGACGCAATAGTCCAGCTGCAGCCTCACCAATGCCACATAAAGGGGAAGTATCACCTCCCTAGACCTGTTTGTGATGCACCTGCTAATGCATAATCAAGTGTGGTTAGCTTTACTGATCGTTTCATCACATTGACGACTCATGTTCATCTTGGAGTCAAGTATGACTCCGAGATCCCTTTCTGCTACACTGCTGCTGAGAGGGTCATCCCCCAGCCTGTAAGTGTGCTGGTGATTCCTTCTCCCTCGGTACAAAACTTTGCATTTGTCCTTGTTGAATTGCATCCTATTCTGCTCTGCCCACTTACCCAATTTGTCCAGAACTGGCTGGATTCATTCCCTGCCCACTACTGTATTTACTTTGCCCCATAATTTGATGTCATCCGCAAATTTGAACAGAGTGTTCTCCACACCCTCATCCAAGTCACTGATGAAGACATTGAACAGCGCTGGTCCAAGGACTGAACCTTGGGGAACTTCACTGCTCCCATCTTTCCAGGTCGATACTGACCCATCCACCACCACGCTTTGGGTGCATTCCTTTAGCCAATTAGCCACCCGCCTGACCATGTAATCATCTACGTCAGAGCCACTCAGTTTATTTATGAGAATAGGATGAGATGCCGTATCAAAGGCTTTCTTAAAACCCAGGTAGATGACATCTACCTCATCCCCTGCATCTAAGTATTTTGTGACCTGGTCATAAAAAGAAACAAAGTTAGTCAAGCAGGATCTACCTGCTATGAACCTGTGCTGGTTGCCCATCAGCATTATTTTTCATGCTGGACTCCCACAAATGTGATCCTTAATAATTTTTTCAAAGGTTTTCCCAAGGATAGAGGTGAGGCTAACTGGCCTATAGTTACTTGGATCCTCCTTCCTCCCCTCCTTGAAAACAGAGACCATGCTGGCCCTTTTCCAATCCTCCGGGACCTGACCTGAGCGCCAAGAGCGCTCAAACAACCGTGCCAGTGGTTCTGCTATGACACTGTCTGCATCTTTCAGCATCCTTGGATGAAGATCATCTGGGCCTGCTGACTTAAACACATCCAGCCCCTCCAAGTGTCCCTTCACTAAGTCAGTGCTAACAGTTGGTAGACTGGTTTCCTTCCTGTGCTTGTCTATAGTCTCCGTTTGGGAGATTTGCCCTTATCCGTGTTCAGGAATACAGAAGCAAAAATCTCACTGAAGAGCTTGGCTTTGTCCCTCCTATCTGTCACCAATTTCCCTAGTCTGCCCTGTAGGGATCCTATATTGCTCTGCACCTTCTTTTTGCTCCCTGTATACCTGTAGAAGGACTTTTTGTTGTCTTTAATATTTGTTGCCAGCCTAAGTTCTGTTGCAGCTTTGGCCTTTCTAACTGACTCCCTGCAAGTACAAGCCGAGTAAGTATACTCCTCCTTGATAGCTACCCCGTTTCCACATCCTGTATGCCTCTTTTTTTGCCCCTAGGCTTTCCTGGATTTCCCCATTCAGCCAAGAGGGTTTTTTGGCCCCTCTGCCCTGTTTCATGTGCAATGGGACTGTCTCCTTTTGTGCCCGAAGGATCACTTCCTTTAGGAATGACCACCCTTCCTGATAATTGTACATTTAAAGGTATTGGTTTGTCACAAAGATCTCTCCTGCCAGCTGCTTAACACCTAAGCAGGTGTCAAGCCTGTAAATGATTCATCATATTGAATGGATCTGTGTCATCCTGGCGAGAAGTGGGTAGCAGTGTCCTGTAGAGGTCAGTGCTCAGTCCAGTACTTTTCAACATCTTTATTAATGATTTGGATGTGGGGGTGTAGAGCTTACTGGCCAGGTTCTCAGATGACACCAGGTTATGAGGGAGCGTGGTCACATTTGAAGATAGGCTACGGATACAGGCAGACCTAGGGCTAGCAAGTTGGGCAGATTGGAATCTGATGAAGTTCAATGTTGAGGAATGTAAAGTGCTCCACCTTGGGATGAGCAACCCCCAGCACACCTACAGGCTTGGCGGCACCGAACTGACAGCACCATGGATGAAAGGGACCTGGGGGTAATAATAGACCACAGTATGAATATGAGCCAGCAGTGTGATGCTGTAGCTAGTAGGGCAAATAATACCCTGGCATACATCAATCGATGCATTTCCAGCAAAACCAAGGAGGTGATTCTTCTGCTCTACTCAGCACCGGTGAGACCGCAGCTGGAGTACTGTGTCCAGTTCTGGGCACCACACTATGACAAGGACGTGGACAAGCTTGAGAGAGTCCAAAGAAGAGCCACCCGTATGATCAGAGTCTTAAAAGGCAAGCCATACAAGGAAAGGCTGAGGGATTTGGGACTCTTCAGCCTGAGGAAAAGAAGGCTGAAAGGAGACCTGGTAGCAGCTTACCGCTACACTATGGGAGTACATCAAGGGCTCGGTGAGCAACTGTTCACCAGGGCACGTGAGGGGAAAACCAGGAGTAACGGCCACAATCTCCTGGAAGACCGATTCAGGTTCAACATTAGGAAAAACTTCTTCACAGTCAGGGTGTCCAGACTGTGGAATAAGCTCCCTCCAGAGGTGATGCAATCACCTGCCCTGGAAATCTTCAATAGGAGACTAGACAGTCAGCTCGCTGGGGTCACCTGACCCCCAGTTATCTTTCCTGCTTGGTGCAAAGGGCTGGACCCAGTGATCTTCTGAGGTCCCTTCTGGCTTTACAATCTATGAATCTTTAGTGACATTCAGGCTCTGGGCCATAAAAAGTTGTCGGTCCCTAATCACAATGAGGTTAAATTTTCTTAAGGACTTACCTCCTTGAAAGAACCAGAATTCATGACAAAGTGATTCTTTTAAGCAGACTCATCTACCTCACATTTGGTTTAAAATGTAATATGATACTGATGATGCCCTTGGTCCTTCTAAGTCTGTACTCACATTGCTCCTTATTGATATATGGTAATAATACTCAGGTCTGTAACATCCTGCCTGAGCTTGTTGTGTCACTAAACATCCCAGAAGCCTCTGAGCAATAGAGTCAGTGACACCTAGTTATGGAGTAGTGAAGCTACATCTTCATTAATGATGTGGACATTGGTGTCAGAAGTGAACTGGCCAAGTTCGCTGATGACACCAAACTTTGGGGTAAAGCGTCCACACCCGAGGACAGGATGGTGATCCAAGCCAACCTCGACAGGCTTGGAAAATGGGCAGACGAAAACCTGATGGCCTTCAACACTGAAAAATGCAAGGTACTCCACCATGGGAGGAAAAACCTGCAGCATGCTTATAGCTCGGCAGTGCTACGCTTGCTAGCACCACGGCCAAAAGGGACTTGGGGGTCATGATTGACCACAAGATGAATATGAACCACCAATGTGATGTTGCAGCCAGCAAAGTGAGCAAAACCCTGGCTTGCATCCATGGATGCTTCTCCAGCAAATCCCAGGATGTCATCCTCCCTCTGTACTCAGCCTTGGTGAAGCCGCAGCTGGAGTACTGCATCCAATTCTGGGCTGCACAATTTAAAAAGGATGTGGAGAAGCTTGAGAGAATCCATATGAGAGCCACGCCTATGATCAGAGGGCAGGAAAACAGGCCTTATGATGAGAGGCTGAGAGCTATGTGACTTCAGCCTGGAAAAGCACAGGCTCAGGGGTGACCTGGTGGCTGCCTATAAGTATATAAGGGGTGTGCATCAGGATCTGGGGGAACGCCTGTTCACCAGAGCGCCCCACGGGATGACAAGGTCAAATGGTCACAAACTTCTCCAAGACTGTTTCAGGCTGGACGCAAGGAAGAACTTCTTTACAGTTCAAGCTCCCAAGGCCTGGAACAGACTGCTGCCAGAGGTGGTGCAAGCACCTACTCTGGATTCCTTTAAGAGTCAATTGGATGTTTATCTTGCTGGGATCCTGTGACGCCAACTGACTTCCTGCCCCTGGGGTATGGGGTTGGACTCAATGATCTTCCGAGGTCCCATCCAGCCCTAATGTCTATGAAATCTATGAAATCCCATTACACCTTCCTTGAAATGCACTGCATCATCGCAACAGTTGTTCAAAACCTTGAAACACCCTTATGGAAAAAAATCACTAAAGCCATTTAATTTTCTCACACTACATTATACTATACTCTACTACACTACACATTCTGAAAGAGGAAGTGAGTTTTGTGCTTTTCTGTGATATAACCATGACAATGTTGCCAACTCTCACAATTTTATCCTCTCATGCTTTTTTCTCCTTTTCTTAAAGCCACAGTTCTTGCAATCAGCTGATTATGTAACAGTCTCAGCTTGCATTAAAAAAAGGCAATTTAAATAAAGCCCGTGTGGCTGAAAAACTTGCAAATGTGAATGAAAAGAATTCCAAATGTATTTTTTAACTTTGCATGATTTTGTGAGTTATTCTCATGATTTTGGAGGGGTAGGGGGCATATGTGTTCTGAATCATTTGATTTGGAAGCTTCTAGTTGGCAAATTCGGAGTCTGTTTCCTTGGAAAAAAGATGTTACTGCAATGAAAATATTAGCTTATGCACAGGACCTGACCCTACAAGGAACCTGCAAGGTACTGCCATCTCTTGGGAAGTGTAAAAGTTGCCAATATACAAAGTACCATAAAGGATCAGGCTCATAATTGGTAAAGGAGGGGAAATAACATGCTTCTTATACATGATCAATAAGGTACTTCAGTACCCTTTTTGTGAGGTATTTTCCTTCTACAGACTACCTGGAATATGGTGAAGAGTCTCTGGTAAGAGCTATCATCAGGAGGCACGAGACACTGTCAACTACAAATCAGAGCTTGATAAAAAACTTGATCGCCTTGTCAGATGACTATGAAAAAGGCCAGCATGACCTTGAAGCCTTGCAACGGGAACACGACACCAGAAAACTTGTAATGTTTTGAGTATTTTATTTACAGTATACAGAATGGGGCTTGATCCAAAGTAGTTAAGGCACTTAACAGCCTGATACAGCGAGGTGCTGAGCTACACCCTGTGGTGCTGTTGGGTAATATGGAATCCATCTATCATGGCTGGGCAGGACAGAGATTTTTGAAATACTGCAGATCAGATACACAAAGAACACTCCTGTCATGTGAAGCAGGACAAATTCTCAGATAGCAGTGTCAATCTCTGCAGCGCATTCTGCACTTTATCCTCCATTATAAATTCCCTAAGGCTGTCAGATGGGTTCCTGGGTGGGGACTAAATGTAGGAGGTGTACAGTAGTGATCCCTAGTATGAATCTCAGAACACAGCTTTGCCCTATGCTTACAAACTGTTGCTGCTAAAGCAGATTTCTTCTGTAGAAAAGTTTCTATGGGCATTTTAGTTTTAATGATTTAAATTGAATGTAACAGGTCTTATCCATTTTGTAGGGGCTGATCAAGATCCCCACAGGGAAGAGAAGGAGGAAGAGTAAGAACCACAATGTATAGCCACAGTCTACTATTCCAAGGTTTCCCAGAATAGACTTACTGGCTAGGAGAGTGAATGCCCATGTAGCAATGCTGGCAAAACTGCTGGCTTTTACAACTCTTGTTGACAGGTCTAGATTGTACTTGCCTGAGTGCAGCTCCACTGTTTTAGAAAACTCTGAAGTTTAGAAAACTCCCCTCTAAATATGACTCTGTTGTTAGCATAATACGTACTGTGTAAAGTGCTTTGTGATCTGTTCAGCTGAACACCAGTATGTAGATGAAAGATATTAGGTGAAGAACATCCATAATGCACATTCTTGTTTTCTTTACCCAGATGCTGATTAGTGAACTCTCTGAACTTCAGATAAAGAGCCACAGAATACAGGAGAAAAATAAACAGCTGGAATTGAATATTAGGAATAATAAAGGGTACCTCAGATACCAGGTGAGTTTGCTAGGTGCTCTTTCCATTACTTTTGGTAGAATATGAACTGCAGATAAAATGGAGCAGGGATATTGAAAATTGCAAATGAAAATCCTGTGCAGCTTTTGTCCCTACCACAAGAGCACAGTGGCTTGTTACTAGACTACATAATGTTTTCAGTGTAAGTTCTAATTTTGTGAGGTTTCAAAACACATTGGCCAAGATACAGTTCTGAAAATGAGATGCTGGGAATGTGCAGCAGTGACATTTACAAACACCCTTGGTGATAGTGACAGGGAAACTCAGTAACTTGGCTGGAACAGAAGGAAGATCACAAACAGACAATAAAGCTCTACATCTCTTTCTGCTGAAGTCAAGTAGGGCAGCTGCCCCTGAGTTCAGTTGCAAGAGAAGCAGGTATGGCATTTGCTATCTTTACCATAGTTTAGGGGTTGGCAAACTTTTGCCACCATAGGCCACTGCTTGTGACCCAGCTCCATTGTAGGCCTGCACCTGCTCCTGTACCTCCTGACAATCAGCAGATGCTGCAAAGGGAATAGATAAAAAAAGGGAAGGAGCCAGTATGCTGGGGATGTCTCCCAAGCTGCAGTAGAGAGAACAAACTGGACATGGCAAGCAATAGGACCTTCAGGATGCCTCCTGCGCTACTGTGGCTGAAGCATGCTGCTGATTTCCTGAGCTGCCACAGTTAGGATCCAGCCTATTCAGGGGCGGGATGCAGCTCGGAGGCTGTAGGCTGCCGACCTTTGCCATTGTTCATAGGGCTTGTCTGTATTGCAAAATCCTCAGCACTTTTCAAGGAGGAGACTGCAGGCCTTATCTACACTAAAAAATTGCCACAGTTAAAACCAGCTGTCACCAGCCACTAGTGTTGCTGCATGTCTGCAAATCCCAAGTATAGAAAAGTTGTGGTAGCTGGCAAGTGCAGTGTAGGCCTTTTTTAAACACCAATGGCCTGCCCCATATAAAGTAGTGGCTTGGCCGTTTATGCTAGGGGTTTGCGCTGGTGATCGTGGGTACTCAGAGTGGCTGAAATCCTCAGTTTAGAGAATGCCTTTGACACCCTCTTCTCCCTCACCACACACAATCACCCACCTGACACCTGGACAGACACTTTCATTCCAGCTCCTGAACAATGGATGGTCTCTCTTCCTTCTCTACAATATCTGATGGCTTCTTTATCTGATGGCATCATAGAGCATTTGCTGCTGCTTTTGTTCTGGCATAGCTGTGGTGGAAGAGTCTTCTAGTAAAGGCACAGAAGACATATGCCTCCAGAAAGGCTTTTGCTGCAAACATAGTTAAGACACCTCCTCAGGTGGCTTTAGCTAACCAACAGAAGCTTTCTTTTCTTGACATAGTTGCATCCTGATGAGGGGTTTCAGTGGCAGAGTGTTACAGGGGGAACTGTTCACACGCTTAGCTGACTTAACTATGGCAGTAAAACTTTGACTCTTCTTACATGTTAATTTTAGGTGGCTCCTAGAGCTCTTAGCCCCTGGATTGTCCACACATTAACACATTAAACTAGTTTTAAGCACTCTTGGTTGGCTTAAAGTTATGCCACCTCAGCCTAGCTCTCTCTCTGATCCATGGGCGACTGGTGCTGCCTTAGTCAGGGGGGCACATGTGACCAGTCAGTGACTGGGGGGGCTCCCCCACAGCTGATCCCACCAACTGGGGGGGGGGCCCCCCCCCCCCCAGCCAATATCACTGACCGGAGTGGGGGGAGGGTCACCAGTGCTCCCACCTGTCCCCCATGCCTGTCACTTAAGTGGCAAGTGTGGCCGGTCAAGGGATGCACATGCACCCCCTATGCATCACCAGTGCTCTGATCTGTGTAACCTAGCTCCCCATCAGCCCTGATCAGCCTGCTGCACCCCAGCCCCCAGATTCCCTCTCACCTCTCCCCCCTCTTCTCCCCTTCGGTCCTGGCTTACTTTACGTTATCCTAGGAGAGCAGACAGGGAATGGACACTTGCCTGCCTGGCCACTGCCCCCGCTGCCAGTCTCTGGGCTGGGCAGGCAGCCACAGGTAAGCCAAGGGAGTGCAGATAAGCCATGAGGGCCGAGGTGGGGGGGCACAGGGGAAGCTCTGGGGGATGGGGAGGGCTAGAGAGAAGCCCAAGGGGTGCAGAGAGGAACCACAAGGGGCTAGGGGCAGCCCCAGAGTAGAGGGGAACAGGGGGAACTTTGGGATGGCAATGGGCAGGTACAAACCCAGAAAGGGAAGAGAGGGGAGGTGGGGGTGGGATTCTTACCTTTAAGTCCTCAAGGCCCCTGCTGGCTTGAGCATGTGGCTACTTCAGACTCAAGCTAATGCCAATACTGATCAACATTTGAGCAGCTCAGAGTGTAACGTGTAACAAGGCCCTTTGTTGAGTAGACCTGGCCTGAGTTGCTGTGCAGCTTTCCCTTTGTTGAACTCCTCCCTTTTGATTTACTGTTCTATTTCCCTCACTAGCCCTTCAGCTTCTGCTCTTCAACCTAATTTCCTTACAGTTTTGCCATTCCCAGAGCATTTCCTAAATTTTCCCTTCTCTCCAACCCTTCAGCTGCTGGAGAATCTACACCCTGTCTACAATGTGATTTTTCCCTGCCTCAGCTGATATATGGCATAGTTCTCATCTTTAACTAGTGCTGCTTTCTCTCACGTTCAAAAGAATCAGCCAAGATGGCAGGAGGGAGCTATGCTCAGCAGGCCCGTGGGCTCAGAAAACATAGGCAGCAGTGGCAGGGGCTTGCAAGTAGCAACAGTGAAGTGACCCCTATCTCACCATTCCCAGAGGAGAGGATATTTTGGGGAAAGGGAAAACAATGGTTGGAAGGGGGATTACTATGGGCGAGATGGAGGTATTTGCAGTTGCTGAGTCTGAGGGTTTACACCTTGTGCATGCAAGAGCCAAAATCAGGAGGGAAACCTGAAGCTGGGGCAGCACAGCAGGACCAAGTCATAGGGGGGGAAATCAGGGCAGAAAGAAAGTAGCAGCACATTTGGAGAAAAAGCTGGATCACACTAGGATTGTTACAGAGCTGAAATCCTCTAACCTTGAGTGGAATTCCCTCTTCATGTGGTAACAACTCCAGGTTTATGCAAAATGTTTTGTGGGGCAAAATTCATTCATGTCTTCTATACCATTGCAGAGTCAAGAACTAGGCAGCCTGTGGTTAGCTATCTCCAATCTGGCTGAGCAGTGCTACATGCTGCACTATGGTCGCTTACAGGAAATGGGATTGTTGTCAAAGCTGGATATGATCCAAGTGAGTTACCAAACTGTTGCAGGATTAAAAACAAACTACTACAGAGAGTACAATGGCTGCTTCTAAGGGTGTGCAGATTTTCTGGACAACTAAAATCCAAGAGATTCTAATGTCTTCTTCAGTTGACTGTGGCTGTGTACTTTGGAGCCTTTCAGCAAACGCAGCACCTGTGTGAACTAGCAACATATGTAAAGGTTACTTATATAGACAGTGGGAGACAGAGCCTCTCTCATAATGTGGAACTGAGACTCAGAAGATCTGAGTTCTGTTCTGACTATGCCAAGGACTTATAATTTCACTTTTGGCAAGTCTTTTAATGTCCTTGTGCTTCAGTTTCCCCATTTATAAAATTGAAATCATAATGAAATCATAATGTTCTCAGGATATCCCAGGATATAAGGTATTCTAGAGGAGCTAAATATTATCATTATTGATAATAGATGTGCAGAGTAATTATGGAAGAGTCCTAGTCTCATCTTGCTGCCAGACTGTAACATTCTTATCAACAGACTAGACCCCTTTGAGTATCTGACTGCAGACAGTATATAAAGGCAGGACAGGGAGACTTGTAGTTCTTGGCTGAGCAATGTCAGAACATGTTCTTCAAAGCAGATCTTTCTAGGACTTGGCCCTCTGGGAACATAGGCCCATGGAGGAGAATGTCACAGAAGGAAGCTTTAGGACTTAGTCAGCTAGAATAAATCAATCCTTATGGAGACTGTTTATCTCAGTATGGACATTGCTAGAAAGTGAGAACCGTGATGATTTTTCCAGTAATACTTGAAGTGCTTTTTCATGTCTCTGCCCCAAAGGCTTTTATTAAAGTAGGTTAACAGAATAATTTCTCTTTTTTAAACATAAGACAATGGAGGCCCAGACTTGTCAGTGGGAGGCAGCAACAGAAACAGAAATAAAATCCATGAAGTAATTGTGTATTGTAGCTTTGGTGCTGTGACAGTTTACACTGGCTGAGGAGCTGGGTGTTGGCATCTTTGATCCAAATTAAGAAAAGGTCTTAGGTGCCCAATGTAAAACTAAGACAAATGTGGGTACCTATGTGAACAATTGACAAAAACCCACCTAATAGCTTAACATCTGTTAGAATGTATAGGCACCAAAATGTCTGGTATGAGAGTTACTTAAACACCTGAACTCTGGTACTGTCTGTGCCCTTGAGGTCCCACCACTGTTGGCAGTCTGCATATCTTGGCACATCTTGCACACAGGCCATGTGGAATGCACAGACTAGGCACCCATGCACCTAAGTCCCCTAGGGTGGGCCCTGTTCAGTAGGCCTGCTTAGCTCACACCTAACAGGAGGTCACACCACTGTGCTCTGCACAAACTCTGGAAGAGAGGCAGGATTTTAGACTCGACCCTCTCTTGGTGTTTCCAGTGGACTGGCTTGGGCATTCCCTTGATCAGTGCACTGTCTGTGGTGAGTCTCATTCATAGGGATTCGCAGCTGTCACTGCCCCTCTCCCCCATCATATCTCCCCCCGCCCCCACGACAGGTGTCCTCTTTTTTGGACCTGGAAATATGGTAACCCTAACTTCAGTGGGTTTGCAATACATATGTGGGTTGTGGTATCAGGTGCTTGGTGAGTGATTACTGGGGCTATGTTCCAGAGCATGTTTTCAATCCACTCAGGCAAAGGAAGTAGGACCTGCATCCTGCACATCCTCTCAGGGTCTCAGGATCTTGGTCATTGGCCAGTGCTGTCCCTGGCCATTCTACTGCCTGTCCTCTCCTTCCCGTTATGTTTAGTCCTGGTTGTAAGAACAGCACTTGATGCTATACACCGTGCATTGCAATGTAGAGATTTGACCATATAACAAGTGAAGTGTTCCACCAGAAACATCTTACCATGTTAGATATAGATAGACTGTAAGTGTTGTTTCCACTACTTTACATTGGATACATACCCTTACAGTCTAGTTGGGTTAGTAATGTATTTGTATGCAGAATGTCCTAAGCATAAAAATCATTACAAATTGCTTCACTGAGAATACTTACAGGCTTAAAAGTTAGGTATGTGCTACCTAAATGTATGGTACTCATGTTCTGTGCTGAATTGGAGCACTGGGTCTAATCCTGTAGCCCTAATCGTGTGCTTAGGTTACTCAGAGGGAATAAGTGCTGCACTAGGAAGTTCTATCATAGTGTGTGTCTGTATTGAAGAGGCTTCTTTTTTTCTGTTACCAGGAATACATTCTAGAAAAAATGCAAATTGAGCAGTTAGCAACACGCACTGATGGATCCAGAATGTTGCAGTCTAGTCCCAGGAGCAAAACACAGCACAGAAAAATAGGAGCAACCAAGGTGAAGTCACAAAGCCAAGTTCCAGCTGGCAGTGGTGGCATAATACAAACTCCTAAAAACAAGTTGAAAGTATCAGTGTGACACCTTTAAACTATGTACTGTGGTTTCCAAAACAACAGAACAGATGAAATCTGGAAGATTAAGTATCAGGCGTCTTAACTTTTCTTAATGTAAATAGCTCCTTTCCGCTGCTTTCATTTTTCTTCCATGCACATGGATGTTTGGCACGGGGGAACAGTCATTGGACGGTAGGTCTAAAGTTAAAGGAAACATGCTGAAAAATAAATGAAGTATTTCATAAATGAGCAGCAGCAGCAGCACACTGATCCTGCTACATGTACAGATACGTAGGATAAATATATGTACATCTATGATATGATTAAAAATTGGTTGCTATATTTCATTTGTCTCTGGAAATGATATACAGCTTGTGATGTTAATTAATTAATTGCTTGTAAAACATAGTTTGGTCCTCCACTGCAATTAGCTATGTAATTGCAATTTATTACCATGCTTCAATGGTTTTCTGTGTGATTATTTGAAACGACACCAGGGAATGAGTTCTCAGTTACACTGCTTCATAGCAGCTGCAGATCTGGTTGATGGTTTTTGAAGTTATAACAAGGCATATTCAGTTCCCTGTTGCCCTGTACTTTATGTAGATATCTATGCTGGTACAGAGTAGATGTAAAGCTCTACCAAATTAGAACAGAAGCACTTAACATCCCTTAGCATTTGTTTTATGCTATTGCAAATGACTACTGGGGAAGCCCAAGATCTCTACACAGCACTCATCCTATAAGGAAGAAATGGTAATGAATTTCCTTCTAATAGGGGTGTGCCCATGAGAAAGGTAGAAATAGAGGCTACAAATCTAGAGGCCCTAAAGGTAGATAAACAGAAGTTCAATACTAGCCTTAAACATCTTGGCCTTTGACTTGGTTCCAAGTAGAATATCAGTTTCGTGGCTCAGACATTCAGCTCCCCTGCAAGACCTGTTCTTGCATGACTCACATAAGGAATGAACGAACTAATAATAGCTACATGAAAGAACAGAAGAGACTGTTAATATTTAATTATTACTTTGCAATTGTGTGTTTATCCCTCCTACCCTTCATCTGCTGTTTGCCTTCTTGGATTGTGGGTCTTGTTATTTCTTTGTGCCTCGGTTTCCCCACCATTCCTACCTTTTAAAGGGTAGGATTAGGCTTATCCCAGTAATATCTGCACAAAGGCTTTGGCATTGGTTGAGCCACAGGCTCTACTGAGTGACTGCCCCTGGGTGCTGTCAGAGGGACATGAGGAAGACAAATAGAGTCCATACAGTGAGTCTATGAAAGAAAGAAAAGGATGGAAAGAGCAGAGGGAAGAATCAAAGCATTTTTATTGATTGATGTATTTAGAGACATGATTCAGAAATAGTTTATGCATGAAAAACAGTGGTTCTGCCAAGGTCAGGAACTCATGGGACAACATACCCTATAAAAAGGGCAGCCAAGCAAATGAAAGTTCTGTGGGGCTTCATTTACTAGGATTAACTGATGCATTTAGCTATATCCAAACAAATGCTGAGGCGACTCCATACACCTTGGTTATTCAGGCCTCCTCTTTATTCTCTTCTCCAACATATGCAGATGCTATGAGTTTCATTTGTGCATTACGCTGTCCATGTTTCTCAGGGAGTTTTATAGATGAGAAAATTAATGGGGCATCATTTAGCTGAGAAACCTGCAGTACATCATTCCTTGTTTAAATCATGCAAAATACGACTAGCTGCAAAATTTGCCATCAAGATTGCTTTTGGTGGAAAAAAAATAAAATCAAATCTTGAGATTTTAACTAAACTCTTTGGGGGGAAAAAAAAAAAAAATCACTTTTTTGCCAAAGAGCACATTTTTCTGTGACACTCTCCACAAAACAAAACTTTTATCATCTTCAAAAAGTTTTCCACGCTAAATATTTATTTTTCTCCTAAATGAGAATTATTATTCGTACTTTTTGTCTCATTCTGCTCTCTACCACATCTTCCTTCCTATTTATTTCCCTTTTCACTGAATTTAACCGTGCAAAAAACAAATATTAGGACCAGCTCCAATTCAGAAACGTATAGGGTGGAACTCCCTTACCCTTTGTGCACCTAAACAGCAGCTTTCTGGCTGCAAAAGTGGCCTTTGGGGCACTTAAGAACTGTTTTCAATTTGATTTCCTTTTCCATGTGAATACGGAAGTATAACAGGGACCTGAACCTGTTCAGCCTCCACAAGAGAAGGCTGAGATGGGATCTGGTGGCCATCTATAAACGCACCAAGGGGGACGAGCGGGGAACAGGAGAGACCCTGTTCCCCCAAGCACTCCAGGAATAATGGCCACAAGTTGACTGAGAGTAGGTTCAGACTAGACATCAGGAAGCACTACTTCAGTCAGGGCGGCTAGGATCTGGAATCAACTTCCAAGTGAAGTGGTGCTCGCTCCTACCCTGGGGGTCTTCAAAAGGAGGCTAGATAATCACCTAGCCATGGTCATTTGACCCCAGTACTCTTTCCTACCCATGGCAGGGGGTCAGACTTGATGATCTGCTCAGGTCCCTTCCGACTCTACCAATTATGAAACAGGAGTCCTGCACCAGGGTACACCCCTGGAGCATCCCGCTCAACTCTTGTCATTTTAACCCTTCTGCTGAGCACCTGTCAGCAGCAACAAGGGCCAGGTTCAAGTCTGGGGTACTAAATATATTTTACTTTGGCTTGAGCACCCACCCAGACCACCTGGGAAACACTAAATAAATCACTAGGGAATCCAATAAAACCAACACCCCCTTTCTTGAAAGCAGTGCAAAACCAAAATTCAAATTTATTACAAAACATAAAGAAAACACAAACATAAACACCAACTATAAATTTAAAACAATATAAACTACAAAACAAAAAGTTGGTAGGTTAGACCCTCGGGGGGGGGGTCTTTACCCACACCCAGGTAGTCTGGGACTTGGGACTCCCCAATGGGTAGCTCCAGGGGCCTGCACCCCTACACCTGCCCTTCAGCAATGGGCTGGAGAGGGAGGCCCACACCAGAGAGTCCTATGAACTGCTCCATGGGTCCACTGTGCCACAGGGAGCTGCTAGACGGCATAGATCTTTCTGCAGTGCAAGGGGTCCCTCGTTGCTCCCTGCAAAACTGTAGTGCTGATCCTCGCTTCCGCATTGTGGATTTGAGGGGTTAACTGCAGTTTTCATCAGCATATCACACCCCAAAGTGTTTAGTCCTAAATCCCAGATCTGCTGGGGCAGGAACTGCAAGAGAACTCGGAGAAAAGCCAGCCAAACAGCTAAAGAGCCTGAACTGCAACCAGCACCGACCACGCCACTTGGTCAAGACAGAGCAAAAAAAATTGGTCAGGACAAAAATTGCTCAGGACAGAAGCAACATGTGCCCTGTCCAAAACATGCCAGGCCCAGACATTCAGCATACAAGTGTACAGCAGGGCTCAGCAACGCAGCCGTGCTGAGACACAACAGCTGTAAAACAATACAAAAGGGGACTCGGGCCTGTCCTGCACCCGGGCCTGAACATACAACAAGAGAGCGTCAGGTCTACGTGGCTGCAGCCTGGACATATAGTCTCAGCTACACTGCTAGGCGGAGACCTAACAGCTGTGAAACAACAAAAGGGGGCTATTTTGGCTTGGGCCTGAACCAGAACTTGTGTCCAATCACAGCACTTGGTTGGAGCATAAACTACAAAAGGGACAAAAGAAGCCCCCAGTCTATTTCACTGGGCCTGGACCAGGCAGCAAAAAGCCAACCCGGCCCATACAGCACTGAGGCCTGGATAAACAACAAGTGCCAGGGCTTCACCCTGGCCCAAATCTGTCAGCCAACATATGGCTGGGGTTCAACCCAACACTGATGGGCTGAAATGCAGCATCTGTAAAATAGCAAAAAGGGCCCAGGTTTATGGCTTCCGCCTGGACTTGTAGTCTCAGCTATACCACCCCACTGAGACACTACAATACCCAACACAGTGACTGCCAGGACCCTGTTTCCTGGTCAGTCTCCGTTAGGGAATGATACTCTCATGGCATCCTCCCACTCAAGGCCTGTAAGGCCAGTAGCTGCCAGCACCCTGTTTCTGGACAGCCTGCACTAGGTGATGATGCTATGAGAGTAAACTCCCATTCAAGGCCTGCGTGGCCAAAACTGCCAGCAAGACACATAGCTGGAGTTCAGCAACACAATTCTGCT